CCGCCCATGGCTCCCCGTGCGCCGGGGGTCCTCCCTCCAGGGGCCTACGAGACAGGAAGTGAGCCAGCCGGAAGACAGGCGCTCCCTGCCTGTGGCTCCCTGTGCGCCTGGAGGCCCTCCCTCCAGGGGCCTACAAGGCAGGGAGTGAGCTGCTGGTTGGAAGCCTGGTGCTCCCTGCCTGTGGCTCCCCATGCGCCGGGGGTCCTCCCTCCAGGGGCGTATGAGGCAGGAAGTGAGCCAGCCAGAAGACAGGTGCTCCCCGCCTGTGGCTCCCCTTGCGCCAGAGGCCCTCCCTCTGCTGGCCTACAAGGCAGAGAGTGAGCTGCCATTCAGAAGACCAGCGCTCCCCGCCCGTGGCTCCCTGTGCACCAGAGGCCCTCCCTCCAGGGGCCTACGAGGCAGGGAGTGAGCTGTGAGTTGGAAGACCTATCCATTCATTTAAACAAAATACTTATCAAGCACTGTTTGTTTGATAAGACTGTCATAACAAAATACCACAGACTAGGTGGCATCAATAGCAGAAATATATTTTCTTATAGTCCTAGAGCCTGAAGGTCTAAGATTAAGGTGCCAACAGAGTGATTTCCTCTGAGGGCAATCAGGGAAATACCCATTTCAGGCCTCTCTTCTTGGCTTGCAGATAGCTGCTTTCATGCTGCCTCTTCATATGGCTGTCTGTCTGTGTGGTGCATTCTTGGTGTCTCCTCATCATTTTCCAAGGACAGCAGTTATATTGGACCATGGATTCACCTCAGTGGCCTCATCTTAGTTTAATCATCACAGTAAAGATGTCTCCAAATACAGTTACATTCTGAGGTATGGGGACTGGAACTTCAACATATAGATTTTGGGAGGATACAGTTTAGTTCACAAGAAGTAGCTACTATGTGGCAGTCATTGTTTTAAGCACTGGGAATAGAGTGGTAAACCAAATAGGAAAAACCCTGCTCTTATTGAGTTTACATTCTATCAGGGAAGAGCAACAATAAAAAAGATAAAGAATTGAAATATATAGTACATTAAAATACAGTAAATTCTATGGGGAAAAATAAAGCTGGAACAGAAGATAGGGAGTTCTTGATCAAGGGTTTGCAATTTCAAACAGGATAACCAGGGAAAACCTCTTTGAAAAATAGACAATTCTAGGCAGAAGGAATAATGCTTAGCAAGACCCCACGGTGGGAACTGTCTAGTTTGTTTAAAGAACAGCAAGAAGCTATGGGGCTGGTTCAGAATAAGCAAAAGATGCAGGGGTTGGGGATGCTGAGGCAGATGATTGTAGGGCTTAGTGAGCCATTGTAATGACTTTAGCTTTTTTTCCCAGATAGGATCTCACCATGTAGTTCAGATTGGCCTTGAACTTGTCATCCTCCTGCCTCACCCTCCTGAGTGCTAGGATCATAGGTGTGCACCATATTGCCCAGCTAATAGCTTTTGTTCTGAGAGACAGAAAGCCATTGGCCAAGCATGGATGACAAAGTCTGAGTTAAGTTTGAAAAGAATCTCTCTGCTGTGATAACAATAGATGGAAAGATGAGCACGGGTGGAAGGAAGAAAGAAATTAAGAGGAATATTGCAATAATCCATTCTGTCTGACTCCTTCTTTGGTTTACCAGCTCTAGATATCATCTATCAGCTTCCCCTCCTGCTCCCTTACACGACAGCACTCTCTGTCTTCCCCCTAATTCATCACTACTTTTACTTCTTCTGTTTAGCTTTCCTTCTCGCAGACATCCATTCTAATGTGCATCTTTTTCTTTGTATGTCTTTTTGGTTATCTTTGTGCCTTTACATAAAACACATAAGTCTGTATTTCTTGTTCATCTAGATATAGTATCTTTGGATTCCATACTTTCTAAAATTAATATATTTGTGTCTGTATACATCCTTCCCCCTCATCTATTTTATGACTTCTACAAGCTCTGCTTTTACATTTGTAACGTTTACCTTATACTTTATAATTATAATTAAATTTCCTGTGATTATTCTCTAGGTTGGATTCCAAAATTTGGGAACCAATAAAAATAGTGTTTACATCACTATGATTATAAAAACATTTTAAAGTATTAAGCTAAAGATTTGCCCTGATTACATTTTCATTATAGTTCCAATGCCACAACCTCTATCAATTGCTCTATATCATTCTATGTTCTAGCTGCCTTCATTATTGGAAAACGGCACTTTGGGACAGTTTGATATATTTTTAAAATCACTAATTGCCTTCTTTATTTGCTAGGTAGACGAAATTTATGCCTTCATTACCATATCTCTGCTACATCCCAGCTTTTTTTC